CCCTCTACAAACACATGCCCATTTCCACCCATCTCCTTTCCACTATTTTTTTTTCCTTTTGAGGGCAGTAAAATATGACAAATCAGTGCTGCATGAGAGGCTGAGTGAGAAGATGTGCTCACATTCAGTTGACCTGTGCAGGATCTGAAACAAAAAAAGCCATCAGATAGCATTCTGTCATCAACATAATGTGACTTATTTTGCCTAAATGCTACAATATAAGGCCGAAATTTTCCAAGTGGTATTTCTTCTTTGCTGCTTACCTTGAGACACTGGTAAGGTAAAAATTTGCTTTGGTTTTGTTGTGTATTTTCATCCAGAGTATTAGAGAGCACTGGCTAAAACAAACCTTGTGTAATGACAGAGATTGACAGAATTGATTCTTGTGCCTCAAAGTTGGGTTGTTTTTCTTTTAGTTTTTGCTTGAGTTGTTTTGTCCATTATTCCTTGTTTGTAATAAATAAGGAAATGCTTAACTTGGAGGCTGCTTGAAGAGACACATGCAGCGCCCAACACAACCTGCTTTAACCACTGGAAACAATGTGGAAAGAGAAAGCTTTGTTGCCTGTGTCATAAGTAAGCTAGCTGGCCTGAAACTGCTCTGAGGCAATTGTCCTCAGCAAATCAGCAGCTGGTCAAGGACTGTTTCCTAAAGATGCACTGAATAGTGCCTAAAAGCCACCCTTATGAGTCAGTGTTTCTGTCATGTGTCAGCACCAGGTGAATACACTGGTGTCAGTGTTACATTTAGTGTTGTAATCATCCTTGACAAGATGAAATATGGTCTCTGAATTCCAGGAACATATGGGATTATTGAGAAAGAAAATTGTGTGAACAAGGGCAATTATAGCAGTAACTAACCATGGCACAGGCTGCACTGAGTCATCCAAGCATAACATAGATATAATGAAAATATTTTTAAAGGCAAACATTATGTAAACCAGTGCTAAAATTATCTAATTTACTATTCTGACACAAGTGATAAATGTAAAAAGAAAAAAGTGTATATCTCTATTTCATAGAGAATGTTCCTTTCTGCATTTCTTGCTACATGTCTTGGATGTTTACAAAGGAAGTGAGGTTTCTTTGTAAGGGGTATTGAAAGGTGATGAAACACATTTCCCATCTGCATTCCAATCTATAGTTTTTCTGGATACAGTTGATCTTGTTATTCAACACCACAAAATTCCCCTCCCATCTAACTTTCCATCAACACCCCACCACATCTACACAGCTGTGCAGCACAGAGGCAGCTGGCAGCCTATTTATTTCAATAGAACTGGCTTTAACCTTGAGAGCAGGGTTGCTCTGAAAGTAATGCCCTCTATTTTGTTATGCTGGCCCACAACATCTGAGGTGAATGCTGGTGGGATGGCAGCAGAGCCCTCCCACTGATATTCCATTACATGCTGCTGCTGTGTAGATGGCAGCAGAGGAGCACTCTGACTGAACGGGAGTGTGTATGGAGCAAAGGTGTGGAATTGAATTCCTCCACGTGAAAGAACTGCAGCCATTAACATTCACTGATGCCTGCTGAACGTTTATGGATACCAAACAGCGGATGTGAGCACAGTGAGGTGGTTGGTGGTGAAACACTGAGGCACAGTGGATCACCTCCACTGGCACAGATATTTACAAACACAGTGTGCAAACTCTTGTGCATCGCTGGTGAAAATGCACAGCCAGTGGTGGTGACTGTATTAAAAATAGTAGCTGAGAACTTGCTAATAGTCAAGTAGTGTTATTGTGTTCTTAGAATATGTTGTCATTTCCATGGGAATACATAGGAGGTGTTAGTTTTGATGTGACCGGCGGAATAAGTGCTCTGCTTGTCAACTGTGAGTTACAAAGCACTTAACAAAGAGGACACAATAATTATTTTCATCTCCCTGATGGAATAAACACACAGTCAGGAAAAGCCACTTGCTGAAGGTCATGCAGTGGGGTATGAGCAGAACAATGACAAAAGAAGAGATAATAAGCATCAGAGGCTTCAGAAATCTTCCTTAACGGGGAGAGTACGCCTGAGCTTGGTGTATCACATAGGTATCAACTGTAATGCAGAAATACCACCTGTGTGTCATAGCTGTGCCATGGTAGAACATGTGATTCACATCGTAGGACTTTCAGATGAGTTGAGATCCACTTGTTTGAGCGTAACATTAGCACTCGTAGGGATTTTTATACTGTTTATATCCATGTCAAAAGAATAAATTTGAACAAATACAAAATTATTTTAGGAAATTAAGATTTCTTATTTATCTGAGAAAAAAAAACAACACAACAAAACTAAATTGTTTTCCTACTTACTGGCAAAGTCATTCCTACTACATTACATATTTTAAAACTCACATCTCATTCAATTAAGATTTCATACCATTGACAAAATGATGCTGTCCTGAAAAAAAATATTGCAAAAGCCACAGTATACATGCCCATAAATAACTGCGAGATTTCCAGGCTTCAAAGACTGAGGACAGAAAGAGATTGTTTAAAGATTCATATGTACATTTCGCATTCAGTACATTTGCTGCATTCACTAACAACAAATACATTGAATCAAACAAAAAGAACAGCTTTAGATGGCTATGGAAAACAGTTTTTGTGGATTTTTTTTCATCAGTCTATCAAACACGTAAGAAACCCCAGCCCCAAACGAACATAAATACCATGTTCTAACTCCTAACCTCATGTGACATAGACAAGATATGCTGCTTCATCACAAGTCATGTTCAAACATTAAAGCATGGGACACAGGTTATCCTCAGTGGATCTCAGTAGATGTGGGATAGTAAAGCTCCCTTAATATCTGACACATCTGTAGCACATTTTGTGGTACAAAACCGAGAACACCTGCGTGTTCTTTTTGATAAACAGATCTAAAATCTGGTACATACCTGGGTGAAACCCAGATTTAGCTCCTTGTATCACTGTCATTTGGTGTTGCCATTTGTATCTCATGTGTTGTTTTCAGTTGGATCTTGGGCAGCGACATGGGTGGCCAATATACAGCCAGCACGGGAGGAAATGCATTCAATGAAAACTGCGTAGAAAGAATAAGTCTTCAAAAATAAGATTTAAAAAAAAAAAAAAAGCTTTGATATGTCCTTCTTATGTTACACTACAATGAATGGAGTTATGAAGGAGGGTTTAAATCGATACCCATGATCACAGTGTTAAAACAAACAGACAAAAAAACAACACGCATGCTCCAGTATCAAAAAATATGCTTAAATAGGTTGTCTGCACACAAAATAGACACTTTGAACTCTGCTATCACAGTACAGTTACAGTCTTCTCCATACATTCTGAGGGTTCCTCCTACTGTATCTTTTGGGGCAAACCAAACAAACGAACAGAAGAACATTCTCAGACCAAGAAGAGTCAGTATGTTTGTACAGCTGAAAGACAGTCCAACTTGTAAAAAAACTAAGAAAAAGCTATACACAAATGCTGAAAGCCATTTAGACATTTAGCTTTTACTGACCCTCTTTAGCTGTCAACAACTTGGGTTTATTTACCAACTGGCAACACAAGATTAGAAGCCTATAATTTTATGCACGTGTGGATATGCAGTGTGTCACATTCTGCTCTGAAATTCAGCTCAGGTCTGCAGAAACCAAGACAATTTCTGTAGACTTTAAACTTGTAGGCACAGACAGACATGGGTGACTGTGGGCTTTCAGTTTGGTGACCATACCAAGCCTTGGTAAGGATGCAGAGGAAGCAGAGGGGATGGAAAAGCTTGAAGAGAACTGAAATAGTTCATTTTCTCTTAGTGCAGGCAGGAAGCATGGAGAAAACTTGTTTTGGATCAATAACAAATGAAATGTGCCAATGCTTTCTAAAATTTCAACTTCACTGCTTTTGGATTAAACTTTTCACTAAATTCAGTCCTAACTGATGAATGCTTCCTGTTCCTGAAGTTCAATTGGTTTATTTTTTTTTTCCACAACTTTACTGAGCAATAAACAATTTCTGCCCTGCAAATCACAGTGCAGGTATCTTTTCTCTTTGAAATCACGGGCAGATATCTTGCTAGATTCACTGGGACCAGATGTCCTCCTTCTGCAGTGGATTGGAAGCCCGTTGTCTTACAGAGACATCGGGACAAGGAGACCTGGCACAGCCACTCTGTGTTGGAGTCGCATCATCACTGAAAACTACTTTTCAGATTCTGGCTGCTGAGTAAATCCTAGACCAGTATTACATGTGTTTAGGGACTCTGACCACCTCTGGGGCTTATAGCCAGCTGTACCCCAGCTGGAAGGTTGCATCATTGGCACAGAATTGCAGCCCATTGCGGCCCATGTACTCCAAAGGTCACTTTGGTGGACATACAGAACACTAGTCTAAAGGAAAAATGCATTGTTTTTTCCCCTTTAAGACACTTCATAGCAGTACTAAAGCAGAAGTTATTAGGTGTTGAGCAGAGTTTAAGACCACAGAACACTCAGTGGAGATCTGTTTAAAAGTTGCCTGTAGGTAACAATATACAGACTTATTTGCTGTCTTCACAGTATACCATTGTGTAACAATTTTGTGGTTGCAGTTCAGTGTCCCAATCTGACAGGTAAAAGGAGAAGCATAAGTCACAGCGCCAGGCTTTGATTTCCAAAAGGTACAATTAATGCATTTGCAAAACGCATTTGATGGACAGTTGTAGATTGCATCCAAAGCTTCAGACAAAGCAATACAGATACTTTGTATTGCAGTGTGTCAGCAGACACAAATCAGCGACAGGCGGTGGTGGACTGCTATAGGACAACCGTAGCCTTTTCTGCCTTCTATAGATACGTTGTAAACAGCAATAGCTAAAATACTAATAGGTTCGTGTATAGAAGTGTTACACGTTGCATGTGCTGTTTATGTGTGTAGGGACATAGGTGCTGCTCAGCTTTGCTAATTCCACACCCTCATCTGGGAGCAGAGTAGCCTGGATTTGCTTCTCCCTCAAATCTCGGTGTCTTTGTAGCATTTAAATTAACCACCACACTGTATTTTGAATAAGCTTCGCTTCAATAACTGGATTGTGTAAGGTAATAAGTGTAAACAAAGTGTGCACAGCAAGACCAGAAGAGCCCCATTACAATGTCACAATGGGAAACATTTCATTTTAGAGCTTAAAAATCCATCTTTCCCAAGGTATGCTGACTTTCCTCTGTTCTGGGATGTGGAAAGATTCAGATGGCAGTGAACCCTTCTTGCACGCCTAGCGTTTTCATCGATGCTGACAAAACCATCCAGTGTATATTTGTGCTATTTACTTTGACCAATAACGCTAATAGGCAAGTGGTAGAATGTGGTAGACAAACAGAATAGGGCTATTTAGTCAAGAAAACAGTATGGCAATTTCCAATCTAATAGTCAGTGATTAAACAAGCAGTTTTCTACTGGTATTGACAGTGAGAAAATACTGGTGGACATTGTGTCAGAGGTCCTGAATGTATGGCTTGATTTTCACTGAGAAGCTGGCACTGCTGTCAGACTGCTGATAAATCAATGCGGTTGGCTGAATTGGTGCTTTTGTCCCAGGTGTTCAGCTTTGTGGGGGTTGTGCCCGGCCTGTTCCCGCTCATCTAGAAAAAACAGCATCGAAAGTAGATTTATTTATTTTGCTATAGCACTCTTGTCTGATGAAATAAAAGCTTGAAAGGATCTGTTTACATTACAACGTTGTCACAGAATCTTGAAAGCATATTCCATAAAGGGTTTTTAAGTTATTGCCAGAATCTAAGGTGATTGGCAGTGATCACTTAATAATACCTGTCATTTCAGAAGTCTGGCTCTTTATAAAAACAAATATATTTAGCCTCAAGGCAATCTAAGCAAAGCTGGAAAAGCATACGCATGCATTGATTTATTTAAGAGTTTGTTTCTCAGACTTAAAAGTAAAAGTGCCCTATCAAAAAGGCATAGTCATAAGACAGATACATTGCCAAAATGCTGCTCGACTACGTAATGTGGAGTTCATTACAAGTGATGCAGATGGTCTCATTGAACCATACTCCAGTTGGTAATGCCTGCTTACATTCATCTGATGGTTTACCAGGAAGTAGAATTGTGTCCTTGGCTTTCAAAATACGTACTGGAGCTGCAACATAATACTTGCTGATTCCACCTCTCTTCACTGTGTGTTAAGTTAGGTATCCACACACCCTTTAGTGCCCTGTTCTTTCACCAGAATGTGATGTAGAAACCTTGCACGTACAATAGAACAAAAAGGACAAATACTCACAATGTCAGAATTGAAGGGTTTTACATTGATGTTGCGAGTTGAGCTACTGGTGAGGGACCACACCTTGGTTTTGTGCTTAAAAGCAGCTCTGACCTTTGGGAGGAAAAAGTGGTACAAGACAGAAGACTTATTTTGGAAAAAGTTGTGTTTATTTTCTCAAGTGCTGCCTACAAATACATCCCCATTAACCTTCCCTCACATTAATGTCACTAACAACTACATTATGTACTAAAAACAGCAGTCTGCTCCTACATTTTTGTTTATACTTTAATTATTTATTTTCCAAGTACTCACAGATTAAATACAAAACATTTTATAACCTCATTATGTCTCATTTCTCTGGCAGTATTTTCATGCTATCTGGGTTATCCCAGCCTCCTAGATGTCCAAGCTATTACTATTCATCTTCTTTGAAAGAAAAAATGCTTTGTATTTGCAGTCCTTGTATGAAGGAGCACCTTTGGGCAGGCTCTCCCCGGTGATCTTTCAGCCCTAATGGTACCCAGACACCTTGAAGATATAGGCCAGCTGCCTGCCTGCCCTTCTCTGTGCTGCCTGTGCATTTCTTGTCCTTGAGCACAGGGAACAGAGCTTTATCTTTTACCCTGCTGCATGGAAATATCTGCAGGCTTTGCTTTACAGTGTCTGAGTTTTACTTCTGCGGTAAGAAGGAAAGCATTCTCACAGTTCAGCTGAAGTATTTTAGAGATACATAGCATACAGCAAAGCCAATAGGACCTGCTCTCCAAAAGTGCTTGTTCACATTACCTGTACGTGAATAATTTTTTGAGTATTCAAACCCTGAAACGTTACTGAATTTCATTTCTCGTGGCCATGATTCAAACATTATATTTGATACAAGAAGTGATGCTTGACAGAAGGAAGAAGGCTTTTAAGTGTGGGGCAAAATAGGATAGAGAAGTATTTTATCTCCTTACCTTTAGCCTGCCTGCTTAACTTTAGTTGATTCCAATAAAGATAAAGAATTTTACAGTCAGTCTTGTCTCTATGAACTGACTGTAGAAAAAATCACATCAGTGCTCTAAGACTGAAAATGTTGGTCAATATTAATAAGCTATCATTGCTTACTGAAACATCTCCTTGGAAGAGCTGGAGCGCTTTTGATGCATGGGAAGTAAACAAGCTACAGGGCAGAGCTATTCCATAACGTCCAGATGGAGTAACTGTGGAAGAATCAAAGCTGTGGAAGTATTCCCTAGGAGGTGCTTTTTGTAAGAAATTTTCATTATCAGTAATGCATATTGCTGAGGATTTTCTTTGTCTGCTGTTGGAAGAGAGGATGCAGTGAGCTGTGGGCCAAGCAGGGATGTCTCTGCCCTCAGCCCTGCCTTGGCTTTGTCCCAGCTGCTTCGAGACAGCCTTTGTGTGAAAAGATGCCTCTTGGTCCATTGTGAAAACCTCAGCTCCTAGCCAAGAAAAATACCTGGAATATGTTCTACACTGTTTAGTTTCCCATTAAGAACTGCATGAGCAGTCTCCTAAAGTATGTTTTGCTGAGATTAATGCTTATTTTCCCTTCTGGAACTGCAGATGTAACAAAGCCAGAGGCCCCCAAGCAGGGATTGCCAGAGTGAGTCCTGCTGCCACCAATGTGATCCCATCCCTCAGAGTACAGCCTGTGCCCTGCTCAGCCCCTGCAGCCCCCAGGAATGTGTCATTTCTTTAATCTTAAGATGCCTTCACGTATCCCTTGGAAACTTTTCTGTGTTAAGTAAAATAAATGCCAAACACGGGTCAAAATGCTGCAAATCAGTAACAGCAGTCATACCAAATTTGCTAACGCCATTTTGTAACGTACCTCTGAATTCAGAAGACAATGAAACAGGAACATGAAAAACCCCTGAAAACAGAGAAAAGGGTCAAGGGTAAAGAATGGCTGTGAAGAGCGACATACTGTAAGTATTTCTCACAGCACTGTGTAACCATAAACACTGAAAACTGGGATAAATTTTGTCCAACGTTAAACTGGAGAAAAATGCAACATTAGGTTCCTGTGCAGCTTGCCTAGATCTGTTCATGTCAAACGCTGCCTCCTAAACTTTGGGGTTCTGCAGGAAAACATCTAGTAGAAAATAAGCCAGCATTCTTGTGGTGAGCTACATGAGAACAATTTGACTGTGCCTGAAAATGCAGAGGCTGAGGGAAATACTTCAGAGAATTTCCCCAATGTTCTTTTATAGAGTTTGTTTTCTTTTTGATGAAAATTTAGTCTTTTCTAATCAGTCTTTCAAGAGCACTGTGTTGCCATCTTTCCGTGACCATAGCAGTGCAGTATTTGTTCCTGAGGTAGCAAAGGATTTATAAAAGTTAACATTTTCTTTTCCTTTGTAATCATTATTTGGGAAAGAACTCACCTATAGATTTATACCTCTACTGGAAGCTGTGTTTAAAGCTAGGCAACGCTTGCATTCTTTCCCAAGCAGACCTCTTTTTCCAGATCAGTGTCTTAAGAAGTCACGTGCTGCTTTCTGCAGCTGCTTTCATGCAGATACAGATTCCTTTTTCTCCTTACGCTGCACTGTTCCCAGCAACTTCTGTTTGTTTTCAGTTCTTGGTAACGAAGCCTCAAACTGACGCAGAAATTTTGTTCTAATAAATTTACAAGAAGAATCTTGCCTTGGCCTTTAAGAATCCTGCACGTGATACCTAGTGCTGGAGGAGTTATCTGTTTCTGTAGCTCACTCTCTAATTTGTTTAGCTATTGCTACTGGAAGCACTAAGGAATGAGATGAAAGTTCTCTTCATACAGAGATTAAACAATTGCCAGCACTGTGTGGTCAGCACAGCAACTTAAAAGACACAGGAAGGAATAGAGAAAAATCCAATAAATGAAAGCATGTGAAAACATTACTAATGATCCATTTCTTGCTTCTCAACAGCAGTTCAGTAGCCACAACGTTTCCAAGAAGGTACTTACTTGTAGTGAATTGAAAACAGCAAACATATACTGAAATATTAGGGTGTGGGCATTGACCGCCAGAATCCCAAAGATCCATGAGCTTCCCAGGATTGGTAAGAGAACTGCAACAGCTTTAGCTGTAAGTCTGAAAGAGAAAATAGCGAAGGAAAACATGATGAGATAGGTAAAATTTCAGGCCACACACCAGGGAATTTATCAATTATTTCTTGGTAGAAGACAGTGTGTCTGTAACTGCCTTTGCCATAACATTCCTTCAGTGGGCTGGTCTCTTAGTTACTCACTGCTCATCTATAAGAATGGGGATAACAGAAGCTTGATATCACATGGGATAAATATAGATTGAGAGAGTCAGTGACTGAGGGTGCCAGGGAAGGGATGAAGAGATTCTCCTATAACTACTGTAGTTGTACCTTCAGTTTTCAGTAACGTATCGTCGCTTCAGTGAGGAACAGTAAGTGTAAGGGTCAAATGCAGAGGGCCAAAACTGAGAACAAGGGCAGTATCACGTGGAAAAGAATAAAACCATTATGTAGCATATCCAAAGTACATTTGCTTACTAGCAAGACAACTTGGTATTGCTCTTCTGGAAAGTGACTTGGGATTTTTAATCACCACAAATGGAATGAAACACTATCTACCTCTGCCAAATGCAAATCCTTTAACACCGCAGTATTATTCTGCTTCCTCTCTGCTTTGTCAGAGTTGATTCAGAGAAATATATGCCAAATTCTGAAATAACTTGTGTTTCTTGGAGGTGTCTCCTGATACATGTTCACTCTGCTTAGCTCGGAGTATTTGGCAGATTTTCAGTAAAAGATGGTGTGACAGCTGAAAATATAACATTGAGAAAATGAGAGGGATTTTTAGTTTCGCCTTAATGAGCTGTGCCTGGGATGTTCATTATGGTGGAAGATTAAAAGATGTTGAAGAAACTGTAGTATTCCAGAGAACTGTATGATCACAGAAAGCTTTCTGCAGCAGCTGAATTCTGAGGATCAAATTCTATATAATTTGGTTCTTGCATTTGTTTTCTGCTTTCACATAAACGTTGCAAATATCTCTCTCTAAAACAGAATACTACTCACCAACTTCCAAGGTCAGGCTCAACTAATGAAATCTAGTTCACTAAATTAGTGCTTATCCTACACAAGTGTCTTCTCCTTATGAAGCCTTCAGAGCATCACCTTGGTGCTAATGAATTGCACTAAAGCATTATACTCTATAATACTGACTGCAGGAGTACTGCAGTGATATCCCGATAGAATGTTCTAGTGTATTCACAGAAAAAGGAGAAGACAGTGGTGTTATGCTATGGAGTCCTTGCTAGAGGACCTTACAGAAGTCCAATACATCCAATACATTCACAGAAGACGGTTCTGCTGTGAATTGTTAAATGGTTCAGGATTGTTCAGTAGTTCAGGTGCAGCTGCTGGTGCAGAAAGTCCCTCATCTTTTGTATGCAAAAAGAAGGGAGTGTGTATTCAGAGAAGAATCACTTTGCTTGTCTTTTATAGTAGGAATCTGTGGTTGGTGGTCCATCCACTTTAATGCAACAGTCTTTCTGTTCTCAGTTTCCATCTGCTTTTAGATTAAGACAGTAAACACCTTGGTTACTGTTTGCATCAATTGAGCCAGTAAAGGCAGGTATGAGATAGAGCAGGGCCAAGTGACTCACAACAGAGTTGTTATTAAGTTCTCTCTCCGTTTTTCCCAGTGAATGCCATACACCTCATTCGCAGCACTGAGCAGCCCAAAAGCATTTGTGATGTCTGTCCACTCTGCAAGCTCTCAAAGTTCCTTATGGATCCCACAGGGCAAAACATGTTTGCTGTCAAAACACTACTAAGTAGACAGCCTGGTGCTATTCTGCCTGTCAAGGATGAACAGATGTGCAAAGAACCTTTGTACACCCAGGCATCACATTTTCAGTGATAGCTATCAAAGGACAAACTCTTCCTCTGCAGCAACTGAGTACAATGTTGGTGGCACAAAACAGAAAGCACAGGGAAGGAAACAGTCCCTGCTTGCAAGGCAGATAGATGTAATCTCTGTTTACCACAGTGCGTGTGAGCAGGTACTTAGCTCCTGTTGTAGCCCATAGGATCTAAGCACATTCTTACACTTAAATATGTGTTTAAAGTATTTTTTGAATTTAGTCTATGGTACAATTAGAGATAGAGGTGAAGGAGCAGTAAAGGGAGTACAGAAATGGAGAATCTAAAAGACTGTCCAAACTCACATACGCTCAGAAATTGGCAGATTTTTATTTATCAGGAAACCTACACAGAATAGAAAGTTGTTTCAGAGAGATTAATGTTGTATTTGTGCCATTTAGCTCCTCGTACAAGCTAAAGTAGGGGTTTGGGATAAAAGTGCACAGAACTGCATAAAAGCAATCACTTGTAACAAACATAAGACAAATGAGATTGTTTCAATTCAATGAAGAAATCTTTTAATTAAATGCTTAGATCCAAGACATCTTGTTCATTTCAGTGACCTGAGCACACACTTCATTATATCCTTTATTAAAATCTGTGCTGAATTACTGCATAGGCTTCAGTTTTATAGGGAAATCTGGGACAGGGAAGAATCAGAAATCTGTTTTTTCCCTGTATTGATAAGTATCTCAATGTCCTTGGCCATGACTGTTTCTGCACAATTTAATTTAATTCTGCAGAGTCTGTTTAGCCAGAACAATGAAAAAATACAATAAAGCCTGAATTCTCTTATTTAATTACAATATGCATTTTAAAAGATACCATCTTAAAGCAACTAAGTGATAGAGGCTTGTTTTCATGAATCAAGGATGCTTTCTTTTTCTCTGTTAAGATTTAAATTCATCACCTCAGCTGCAGAAGGCACATGCTCAACCAAGGAGCTGCCAGCAGACCAACTTTTGCCATAAATGCTGTGCAGAAAGATCTGTGTAATCCTACACAGCCCTCGAGTCCTTAGGAAAATGCATCTTCCCAGAACTCAGAGCAGACAGAAGGGGGAGAATGCATGAGCACACAGAGGATGGGGGAGCTTCCTTCAGGCTCTGTGATGGTGTAGAGTCCCCTGTAACCCAGCAGGTGATCAGTATGCCCAGCACAGCTACATTTGTAAAAAGCTCTTCATTACAGATCACCTTTTGTTCCTCTTTCATTCTCACACTCTCCATTTTTACAAAACTTGCAATTTAGAATATGATTTTCCCTAGCTGCTTTATTACTAGAAAGAAGTTTTCATTATCTCTTTTTTAGTTTTAGCATTACCAGCTTCATTCATTGTGGTCTGGGATACAAGAGTTAGGTTCTCAATGTCAGTGTTCTTAAAACCAATCCTACTGTTTGGATTTTCAAGAATTTTTAACATCACAAATGCCTTGAATATTTAAACAACAACAACAACAAAAAAAAAAAAACAATACAAAAACCCACAAATATTGATTAAACTCCACTCACTTTTAAGCACAGAGTTCAGCAGAAATACACAGCTAAAATGAAAACAAAACGCAGATATATGGGATTTTTCTTTCACATGTGTGCATGTTTCGTGACTATTCACTTAGAAATGCAGCAGAGGGTAAAATTCATTTTAGGCCATCTAACAGTTTTACTTCTGCCTGCACATCAAGATCTCTCTAAGCCTGTTTTTATTCTCTTAACTGTTTACCTGCTCTGAATTTCTGTGTACGCATTGTTAGTTCAAGGTATTTGTGAGCTTTACTCACCAAGCAAAGGAGTCAGCTCTGTTCTTCCCAGTCTTTCATTTCCTTCCACCTACCCCTCCCCTCCCCATCCTTATTTCATTTTGTCTTTGAACTTCAAAAAAATAAAATATTAACTGTAAAATGCTGTGTCAGAATACCACTAAGGCAGGAACATTCAATCCATCATACTGCACGTACTTTTTTTCCTTTTATTCCCATTTTTCTCTGCTACATGAATATTTTAGATAGATTAGCTTCAGTACACTAAGATATAGAGCACAATCTAATACATGTTGTGTTTGGAGAAGGAATACAGCATGGCTTCAACTGTGCAACATTCAGAACAAATTTTACTCCCATCATTCATCATTTGAGTTTTCTGCCATCTGAGAAGTTGGTGATGTGAAGAACCAAGGCAGTGGGGCAGAGGCAGGTGTTGCTCTGCAGATACTGCACTCTGGTTCAAACAGGGCTCCATAAACCTTGCTGAAATCTTTCTTTGTCCTTGTACCCTAAATGCGTTGGAAAGCAGAATGGCCTTTTCTCTAAACCTCTCCTGCATGCTCTTCTCATGCCTTGGCTTTTGAAATTAAGAGCAATGCAGCAGCTTGTTTTTCGCACCTACTTTTTAAAGATTGGATATTGTTTCTCTTCTGCACTCCGATGGTATAATGTTCTATGAGTTTGTTGTGTCTGCATCTGTGTACACTCAGCACTGGGATTAATCAATTAAGAACAAAGCAAAACTAGCACAAAAGATTTATTTTATCCTAATGTTATTTCCTTTAGAGTGTTTTTATGTGTGCGCCTGTTATTGCTTCATAATACAGAAAACTGCTGTGAAACACAAAAGAAACTGAAGTCTGATTAAATTTTCATATTCGGTGTATATGGAATAGCCCTTGAGATATCCTGTCTGTCAATTCATGCGACTGCTAGGGTGGTTTCTCACTCTGATGCTGCACTAAGAGCGTCTGCAGCTGGACTCAGCAAGAGCTATTCTGGTGTCATTTGATTTCCTTACAATTTCCATGGCTATTTATTGCAAAACGGAAGCATCACCAAACTGGCACAGCACAGTACCATCCCATCTGCAGTCCTGACCTGTGCACTAATCAGTTCTTAGATGAAAAGGAAGTCTGCTGAGTTGGATAATTATTGTAGCTGCATGGAAGTGCTGGTGCAGGTTTCAGCACCTCTGAGACGTATTTTATTCACCTACATCACATAAAGTCGTGGCACTATTAGTAAAGTTTCTGCCAATGTTTTTCCAAGAGCAGAGGTGGACCTCATAGTTTTATTGTGTTTGCAATTGGTTTGGAACAGCTCTGCTCAATTGAGATTGCTCCCTTCCCCTTATTTAATCTCTGCCCTTTCCTGCTATTGCCCTGAGCACACTGTCGATATCTTATACCAATGCAGAATGACTA